CTCTCTCTCTCTCTCTCTCTCAAAATAAATAAATAAATAAATAAAAGCATTTTGTTAATGTGTATAAAGGAAGGCCCTTTTTATTTTAAAAGTATACATTCAGGGGTGCCTGGGTGGTCAGTTAAAAGCATCTGCCTTCGGCTCAGGTCATGATCTCGGGGTCCTGGGATTGAGCCCCGCATCGGGCTCCCTGCTCAGCGGAAAGCCTGCTTCTCCCACTCCCTCTGCCTGCCACTCCTTCTACTTGTGCTCTCTATCTCTCTGTCAAATAAATAAATAAAATCTTAAAAAAAAAAAGTATATATTCATATATGCATTTTATACTTTGTGGGCCTTTGTACAATACTAACAAGTACTGGGTAGATACAGGAGTAGATACATGTATAATGCCTGTAGAATTTTCTAGGGGCAAAAAGCAGAACTATTCTCTATGAGCATTTATATTTTCCATAAATAAGAATGAAGTTCAAATTAATGTTAATTATAATAACAAAAATGAGTATTAATATTAACTCAGGACCTATTATGAGTCTGACCCTGAATTAGATGCTTCAGTTTTCATCCTCACAATAATCCTATGTGAAAAGAACTATTATTATTTTAATTTTACTGATGAGAAAACAGAGGCTTAAGTTTAAGAGTTCAAGGTCAGAGAACCAATGAATGGGTGGAACCAAGGCGGGAGAGTTCAAGTTCTAATCACTAATGCACACATTCCTCCCAAAATTATCTTGATAAGATTATATTTGCAGGTTGTTTCCATACTGACAAAATGAGGCATGCTATATTTAAATTTCAAAAGCCCTAGTGTTTAAACTAAAAGATGACAGAACCCTTCTTGGGTATTCATGGTCCTGAACTGTAAACTCTGTCTTAGGTCAGAAGTAAAAACAAAGATACCGATCACAATTCTTGATCATTCTGTCCTTCAAGGAAGCAAGCTCTTCTAACAAGACTATAGATAGGGAAAATCTCTACATAAATGCATAGCTCCTTGTGATTTCATGAGGGGAGGCTCTGGGATAGGAAGGACAAGTTCAAATTCAGTTCAAGAAACAAGGACAAGGGCAAGTTCAGTGCAAAGAACTGAAAGAAAGCTAGTGTGGCTGGAGTACACAGATTCTCAATGTCACTTAGTGATGCTGGAGGAGAATTTAAGTAAGACGACTTAAGATGACTGAGTCTTTCAGCCAAAACTATATTAAAAGTTTGTGCATTCAGTGCCCCTCTCTTATAACCACCCCAGCTCCAAAACAGCAAAAATACACAAAGTTACAAACATGTAGGGGCTTTTGTGTGTGTGATTTAAAAAAAAATTAAATATCTCCATGGATCAAACACAAAATAGAAATGCAAAAGAAACTGTAGACAGAAGTGTCCAGGAGTCCTACTTCTGTGGGCTACTGGGGCTAAAAATGTCCACAGGAAAAGGCTGGGACCTGAGCTAGCCTCACTGCTGGAAATAAGCAAATGCTGAGGGGGAGCTCCACACAATGAAAGGGGGCTTTAAAACTTGCCTTATCCAGGGAGGTGGCAGAAGGCAGACACAGCCTCACAACCGGACTTGGGCCAAGTGTGCTGACCTGGTGGTGGATCTTGGATGTTCTATCACTGACGTGGAACAGAAGCCCCCAAGAGCAAATATAACCCTTGACTCTGGGTTGGGGTCCTCGGAGGTAAGAAGCAGGTAATAGCAAATCCCTAGATGGGGCAGGGTGAGTGCAAGGAAAGAACATGGGGAAACAAACTCAAGATGATACTCTAAAGCAAAATTCCAAAGCACAGAAGAAAAACCAGCATTAAAGAGGGTCCAATACAGTCAACATCAGTCCTATCCACCCCCCGCCCCCACCATGAAATGAAAAAAACAGCCTAATAGTGACTTTAAACTGGAGCTTTAAAAACGAGTAGGTTGTTGCACAGATTATCTTTATCACTTAGAGTTCAACATTCCTCACATTGAATTTCTTATTCTATAAATTTTGACATTTTAAGTGTTGAACTTGTATTTTCCAGAAAGTGACTGGAAACACAGCATCACTCTCTTTAGGATCTGCAAGACCATGGGGTACAGCTCTGTTCCCTCAGAGCCATGAAGGTGTTGAACTTCCAAGGTTCCTGTACCTCCTCAGCACCTTTAGAGAATGAAAGACAATCTTGGGACAGCTTGTGATGGCAGAACGGACACAGCTTGCCAAGGTGGACAATATGGATGGAAAACCTAAGCCATTCCTGCAACAGAACACCTCTCTTTGACAAAAGGATGGGAAAGTGGGCAGAGTAAGAAAATGGTCCCTGAAATTAAACATGGCCTTTATAACTAGATTCAGTCTAGGATTGGAATAAAATTATTAAATTCTCCACCTGCTCTGCCACAGAAGTGTTTATGTTTACAAAGCTACATTACATGTCCCTTAAAGTGGGAGATCCTAAATATAAAAGATGACCATTTGATGAATGAATAGCTGAATGGTCAACCATTCTAAGTGAGAAAAAAATGGAGGCATCACACACATTCCTTTCACTTTTCATGACAAGCTCAAAAGAAGCTCTGTGAAAACCAAATTAATCAATTCAATAATATACCAAAAGAGTTTCTATAGTATTCAGTTGTAGAATGTCACAGCACTGCTCCAATTCCTATGGTGTTATAAGCACTGGCAGTTTAAATGAATCATGTTCCTTCTCTTTATCCAAGAAGTAAATAGCAAGAGATGCTACTAGGTACAAAGAGTGAGGGAAAGCTCACACATTCAGGCTCTAATCCCAATCAGAATCTCGGCTTAGGGAGAGAAACACCCCCGTGGAAAGCTGACAAGCAGGGTGAGCGTATAGCCACCCTTCTGAAGCCAGGACTCCAAAGGGGCCACGATGCATTAAGCCAAGGACTAATTTTTAGTCTTTTTTTTTTTTTTTTTTTAAATCCCAGACAGAAGTGATTACAGTGCTAAAAATTTTTTTCTTCCTAACCCCTCACAGGAGATCTTGGAGGGTGCCCGCAAATGTCCAGGCTGGGGCAAAATCTGATCTGTCTAGAATCGTAGATTCTAATGACACGAAGCAGCCTTGTGAAGGAACAAGCTCCCTGTCCCAGGCAATGTTCACATGGAGAGACACATTACGATGTGTCAGAAATGTGCAGACATGCCTGAGGTGGGAGGTTGCTGGACTGTTACTTCCAAATACGGAACCAAGGACTTGGGGCCAATTCTTGGGCCAGCGCTTCCGGTGGGGGGGAAAAAAGCCGGCAGATGCTGAAAAGGCTCAGAGACCACCGTGGTCGGGAACCCACAGCTTCCTGACAGCCCACTCGCTACGTCACTGAACGTGAGAGAATTAGAATGATGAACATGCATTTACCACCACTGACCTAAAGCCAGCAAATTCTGCCAACGGAGATGTATTAGAAAGAGAACCAAGAAACAACATATCATTACGGCTGGTGCTTAGATAGGAGTTAATTATCCAGGTCTTTGCTTCACTTCTTTCTTCTTCCTACTGAATTTCTTTTGCCCACTTCTCTGTGGCTTCGATTCCCTTATCCAGTGGAGAAAGAAAGCAGGGGAGACTCAAAGTCACCCACGTGGCGATCTGTGGGGGAAGCGGTCATAAAAGGCTTGGGAAGGGGAAGGAAGAGGAGGGCAGGAGGATATTAAACTTATTGGAACAGTTCCTTTGTTTTGGGTAGCAGGGTACAAAGGAAAGTGTGGGCTCTGGAGTTGGACTGAGTTTTGACTTCTTGTTCTGCCACTTACTAGCGGTGTATCCTTGGGCGAAGAACTCAGTTGGTCTGACTCAGCTTCCTCATGGAGAAAATAGGGATATTCCTATATGTGTTGGAAGACAGTTGCAAGGATCGGATAAAATAATGTAAAGAGCCAAATATAGTTCCTTCCCATCGGGTAAGCACTCAAGCTGCATTATGAAAAGCACCTAAATTTACTCTTCTCATACAATTAAGATATGGCTGAAAGCAAGCGCTCTTCCACTGAGAAGCAGGAGGTCCCAAGTAAATGCACACATCTTAATCTGCCAATTTCTTAGTATAAATTTGCATCTTAAAATTTGCATTGGTTAAACTTTACCTGTCGACTTACTTGCTTGGAGGAGCAGCTACTTATGCTCCTTGAAGGTGAGACCAGTTTTTGGGACACCCCAAGGTTCTTCTCGTCACTCATCATGAGCAGTGGGTCACTTGGTCTCGATGCAGTCAAAATGCCATCAGAAGACAGTGGAGCTGAGAGTACGGAAGTCGCACACGGGCAGGTGGTTCAGTTCTTATCCAATACGTTTAAAGGCATTTTGGATGACCCAGAGGAAATCTCTAAAAGCAAAAGAAAAGGATTACAGAGAAGGTCAGAAGCCTCAGACACCATCTGTAATTAGCCCTGTCTGCAAGTGGTTTGTCTACAGTACAGATTACAGAGCCATGATGCATAGTTACATCAGGAGCTGTGAAGGAAAAGATGCTTTACACCCATCTTTTCTTGGAAATTATGTATAGGTGGTTTTTCATGTAGCTTTGCAATATGCCAGAATTAAAAACAGTAGTAAGAAAATTTGAGTCCAGACACATACGAAATCAGTACTATAAAAAACCATCCCGAACCACAATGAGATACCACTTCACACCTGCTAGATGATAAGTATAATTTTTTTAAAAAAATGGAAAATAACAAGTATTGGAAGAAACTGGAATCCTCAGGCATTGCTGGTAGGAGTTTTAAATGGTAGAGCATAGTTAGAAAGAGTTTGATAGTTTTTTTAAAAAGCTAAGCAGAATTATCATCTGATCCAGCAATTCCACTCCTAGGTACATACCCCAAAGAACTGAAAACAGGTGTTCAAACAAAAACTTGTACAAGAAGGTTCATAGTAAAGCTACTGGCAGGAGCCAAAGGTAGGAACAACCCAGCGTCCATCAACTGATGAACAGATAGCATTCACCGTCTGAATGTTTGTGTCCCCCTGAAATTCATGTGTTAAAAATCCTAAACCCAATGTGATGGCAATAGGAGGTGCAGCGTCTGACAGGTACTTAGGTCCTGAGGGCACAGCCCTTATGAGTGGAATTAATTATAAAGGAGATGACCCAGAGCTCCCTAGCCTCTTCTGCCATGTGAGGATACAGTAAGTCTACAAGCCGAAGAGGGCCCTCTGCCCATGCAGGCATCCTCATTTTGGGCTCCCGGCCTCCAGAACTGTGAGGAATAAATTCCTGTCGCCTCTAAGCCACCCAGTCTGTGGCACTTTGTTATAGCAGCCCAAATGGACTAAGACTGCATATCCATGCAATGGAATATTGTTTAGGAATTAAAAGGAATGAAATAGTGATACATGATACAACAGGGATGAACCTTGAAAACATTATGCTAAGTGAAAGCAGCCAGACAGAAAAGACCACATATGCATGTTTCTATTTATATGAAATAACCACAGTGGGCAAATCCATAGAGGCACAAGGCCAAGCAGTGTTTGCCAAGGGCTGGGGGAATTGGGAAATAGGGTATGGCTATGAGGTTTCCTTTTAGGGTGATTAATGTTCTAGAATTAGATAATGGTGATAGTTGTACAACACTGTGACTAAATGTCACTAAATTGTATGTGTGAAAATGGTTAAAAATTGATTTTATATTATATATATTATAGTATAATTTAAAAAAACTTTTTTGGAGGGATGGGGTGGAAGATTTGTTCTACCAAAGGTTTTGGAGACATCTTCTAAAAACACTATTACAAAGTGTGACAAAATTATGAAGGAAAACAGAAGTTCCCACATCATCTACAGTATCCTAGTAATTGAAACAACAATCATCTTTGAGTCCACGCTACCTACCGCCAGGTCCTGTAGTAAGAGTTTCCCATACACATGATCTCATTTAATCGACAGTCTCTGATGGGAGGAGATTATCTCTCTTTTACAGAGGAAACAATGGAGTCTCTGAGAAGTTAGGTAACTTGCCCAATCACGCAGCTGGCAAGAGACTGAATTCAGGCTAGATGCCAGGCCTTTAACCTTGGTGTTGGAAATGAGCACGCTTTAATAGCCGGGCCTGGTGATAACAGTTACTGCCCAACTCTGGGACCCAGCAGAACTGAGGAGCTGCCTAGAAAGACTCAGGAGGGAGCACATCATAATCCAGCTTTGCAGAGGCCCTGCCCCATTCCTTCAACCACTGCCTTCATCCACAGCCCTGAGTTAAGGGTGACTAACATGTTTGGTTTTGGCTTCACAAGGCCAGCCTTCTATTTGACACACTAAGTTCAAATAAACTCTGTAACTTTCCCAAACATGTTAACAACAATAAAAATATATATATATCCAATCTATTTGGTTCTTAGTGCTCACATAGTCTTAATTTTAAAAGAAGCATGTTATATAATTGTCCAGGACCCAGGTAGTTAGATATTATTTTAAACCTTTGGTTAATTATTAAGTACCCAATCTCCTATGCCTTTCATTAACACTTAGTTCTTTAAAAAATGAGTATGCTAACGAGCACCGGGTGCTGTAATGAAGTGTTGAATCACTACAGTGTACACCTGAAACTAATATTACACGGTATGTTAAGTAGAATTTAAATAAAAACAAAAAAATGAGTATGCTAAAGCCATCAACTAAAACCAGGACAACGAGAAATATCATGTCAGAAAATAAAATTAAGGTACATGTAGCTGGAGAACTCAATTCGCATGTTGCTTTCATAGAAACCCCCCAAATCTCTGTACGCATACATATTGGATCTAACAATAACTAAGACTAAACCAAACCAACACCAGCCTCTTCACAAAGTTAGCTTCACTTATGGGGCGTGACTAATTGGACCCAAAGTTAGAAGTCAATGCAGTCGAGTTCAAAACTGCCAAGAAAGGCTGTACGGATATATTAATAGGCGGTTTAATAGCACGTTGGCTGTTGCCGTTGAAGAAAGAGAGGGAAAAGAAAACATGACGGGAACCCCAAAGGATGAACTGTGTGCGGGGGCAGCTGTTGCCACGACAACCGATTCCACAGTGGATCGGGAATACCAACAAAGGGTTTCTGTGTGTGTGCGCGCCAGTATTTTTGTCATGTTTTTTAAAAGTGGAGGCTCTGACAGGGAGAGTGCGGGACAGCGGATGGTCTGTAACATGTGCAGAAGGGGCAGAAAGGAATACTCGGGCGATAAAGAGTCAGCAATTCTGAAACTGCCAAATTAGAAACACAATAACCCTGTCCCAGAGGCAACTGATATAAAGGGTCACCTTTATCACTTAGCTCTGCCAAAGTTCACCTTGGAGGAGTGAGCTACCAGAGCCAGGGCTGGGCGCAGGCCAAAACCCCATAATTTAAATTGGTACTTTGAGGTAAGGCCTCCGCAAGTACCACAGTGCCTCTTTATCTCCTCCAGGGAGAAGAAATGGTGTGACTCCAACCCCTCCCCGCCCCCGCCCCAACATCCATCCCCGAGTGAGTCTGGGATTATCACCTAGGGAAACAGATCTTGTTTCATCCCCCAGAACCTTCCAGCCTAGCCTCATCAGAAATTCAGTTAAAATCATTAGTTAAAATTTAGTCCACTTACAGCTTAAAGGGCAAAACAGATCAAATTCTGGGAAAAGGAAATACTTAAAACAGGGTAGACTAGAGCACAAAGGCAACAGAGACCTGAGACTAAGGTGTCCCAGGAATGAGGTGGTCGTGTGGAATGGAGGTACTTATTGTGTCAACCTAGGGGGCCCTAGGGGCTGGCCGGCGGGTCCTCAGAGGGAAGACCCTGACAGGAGTCCCAAGACAGAGGACCTCAACAAGGAGGAGTCACACAGAAGGCTAGTGTCTCCTACTCCAACTAGCTGACTTCACAATGCTGACCTAGTAAAATGGGGAAGACAAAGCCCTTAGGCATGACAGATACTGGCCAGGGGCCAGGGCCGCTGATTCAGGGGTATATGGATGATGATGATGATGATGATGATGATGATGAAGGTACCTCTGAAAGAGCTGTGGTGCTTTCTCCTCTCCCAGTGACCCTTCCATGGAAAACCTCTAACTCAAAGGGCTTGTATAAAATATAATAGTTTCCCTGCTCAGACGCTGTGAACAACTTAAGGCCAATAATTCATTTCCCCCCCCCTTTTTTTTTTACTGAGGCATAACTTCTGTAAAGTGAATAAGTCTTAAGCACACAGACAGCTCTATGAAATTTTACATTTGCAAATAGTGAAATAATCACCACCCAGATCAAGAAATAGAACATTTGCCACCTCCTCAGAAGGTTCCTCCATCCCTTGGCCATTGATCTGACAGGTAGGGGGAGGTCAATCCTGCTGAATGCTGTGATACCTGCCCCAAGTAAACCTGTCTGGAGGTACCTGTCGTGCCCTATAGACAGACGGCTGGGACTTCCCAAACTCACAGGGACGGGCTGCATGACTGCTCTTGTGCCTTCTACCTAAGACAAGTGTTTGATGCATGACAGAAGTCAGTGCGGGACCCGCTTTCATTTCAACGAACCACCTGGTAGCCAAATCCAACAGGTATGAGAAGCTTAAGGTAGTTAGGTCAATTAAAAAATGCCCTTCTTGGGGTGCCTGGGTGGCTCAGTTGTTAAGCATCTGCCTTCGGCTCAGGTCATGATCCCAGGGTCCTAGGACCAAGCCCCGCATCGGGCTCGCTGCTGGGCGGGAAGACTGCTTCTCCCTCTCCCACTCCCCCTGCTTGTGTTCCCTCTCTCACTGTGACTCTCTCTGTCAAATAAAATAAAATCTTTAAAAATAAAGAAATAAATTTAAAAAATGCCCTTCTTGTGCTTCTGAAATGAGCTAGGTCCTTTCTCACCATTGCTACTCACCTTGGAAGCTGATGGCCCAGGTGAAGATGGTGTTCTAACTAAAAGTCCAATGCATGAGACATGAGTGCATGGGGCTTCCATTAGGGAAAAGAGAACTCTGATTTCTACCAAGAATGGGGAAGAACAAATGATCAAGGCACTGCCAAGCATTTTGGCCAAAAAGACTGATCTTAAGACTTATTTTGGCCATTTTCACTTAAAAAAAGAATACAGAGTTTGGGAAAAGATGTAAAGGAGATGTACAGACCAAGATGTATGTGACTCAGAAGGAGCCAGACCTGTTTGAATTTGGTGCTCCCTCATTACAAACTCTGTGCACCTTGACAGATGGAGTGATGTCTCTGATCTTTAGGGTTTTTATGTAGGAAATGGGGCATCACGATGATTAAATGAAAAATGAGGACAAGATGTGTGGTGTGGATAGAATAGACACTCAACAGATGTTAGTTCCATTTCTTCCTCTCCTGGCTTCCTGGAAGTGGCATATACAGCACCAAATAAG